CACACACACACACACACACACACACACACACACACACACACACGTCCTGTTCTGGAAAAGCTCCACTGACATGTTGAAATGCAATCTCCACCTGGCTGTGAGTGATCCCATGTCATGTTTCCCCAACAAGGCCACTGTGGCGGGGCTCAGGCGAGCTCCCTGCTATCTCTGGATTCAAACATCAACCTCGATCCTCTCTCCTCTCCTTTTGCTTTAGTAAACATGATAATAGTGGTGCTGTGTTCGTGTGAGTTCTGTGTTAACACTGCGGCTGTCAAAGGCCATCATGCCCCTTCAAAGGATGATGGCTCTCTAAAGTGGGCTCTCTCAGTGGCAGCCATTTTCCACTTGACTGGCCCCACACACGAAGGGGAACTGGTAGCCCCTAGCAGCTGGGCTAGACTGGTCACTGGGGGTGGGGAGAAGGAGATGAATGGCTTGATGAAAGGGGAGGAAGCTAATGGCAAGATAAGACGAATATCTAAATGCATCAAGGGGTGTTTTTATACTTTTTTCCCTGCATATATACCAATTATTTTACCCTCCAAGACACTTCTGGTACAGCCCAGGTGTGGCTCCACATTCAGGCCGACTACTCACCGTTGCTTTTCATCAAATACCTGAATTATTGGCATCAAAATAAATCACTGTGTTGAGCCACAGCTGAAATTTAGTCTACCATCGAATACCTGGCAAATCCCTATCGTCCTTGATGAAGAGCAGACAGTCAGTARCTCATGAGCAGCTGGAAACCAAAGCCCATTGAGCTGCGAACATGCTTGCTCGGCCATATGGGCTTTGTGTCAACACCCCAGGTCCAGTCAGGTCTTGGTCGAGACAAAGAGAGCAGGATGCATTTTCATAAATCACTTCTTGACACCAAATCAAGGTTATGTAGTTAGCAGTCTGCTGCCTGTAGATTGTGTCTGCACTGACAAAGCAGAGACACTCTGCTGGGATTTAAGTAGCTCTTTAGTTATTTATGGCTGGAAAATTAAAATTATCTCTTCCTGAACTTTGATGATAATGTTTTCAGTATAAATTTATTCAGAAAATGTGGTGTTGTGTACCAGCAGTGTATTTGGAATATGCATGCAGGCAGGCCCTCTTTTGTCACCCACTCCTAATATACAAGCTTTATACTATCCAGTGCTGAGGTAATAATTAGCTCACTGCAGCGGGGTAACAAGTTTGCACCCCCGTCCTGCTGCGCAGCTCTGTAATTGGTCCCCTCATGTGGCACAGTCGGGCCCCAGAACAAAGGGTTCCCAGAGGGGGGATCCATGCTGACCCATGCTGAACCCTCCACAACAATGARAGGCAGGAAGCATTTACATATGCTGACAGACTTGTCTCTTCCTAGGGTGGAGTGCTAGGCACTTCATTAAAGCAACATCAATACCTGCTGATGGAAAACGAGGCGAGGGCCCGTGTGCATCACTGTCTGCTCCGAGACGCCATAGTGAAATGACATAGGGCTGTCACGTCTAATTTCAAATAAATGGACGACATTTATTAACGCAAGTGTGTGTGGAAATTGATGGGAGAGAGGCGGTGAGATGCTGTCAGAGCCTGGGCCTGTCTGCATGCATCAGCAATTGGTTTACCCACAAGCTGTTCACCTGCCCATCAGCTGCCAAAATCTGCCGGCCCCCGGGCACACCCGTGCACATTTCCACAGTTCTTTGGCATTTTGTTTCCTGTTTTAGACCTAAAACTGTTCCCACTCCAATCTTTATACAGCGTCCCGTTACAGGCTGACGTGCTCCCTGGCGAACCCTGTGTTTGTGCCTTCAGAAAGAGAAGATTGTGTAAAGTCAGGCACAGGTGACATATCTGTCGATTCAGCAGCTACGCTGTAGGAGTGCAGGTGGGTTCCTCCAATCATCGCAACACGCCGCTGTGAATTCATTCTCTTATCCAGTTAAAGGAAGGGTAAATCCTCCTTCCATTTGACGTACTGCTCATTTTGTTGAGAGGCACGGTGGCTGCTGGAGGGATGGAGGGGGATGGGGGTGGGGTGGATGGCTCTGTGTTGGTGTTTGAGGGTGGGTAGGTGGGGGGGGGTACTCTTTGGGAGGTGCCGACCTGAGCAGATGGACTTCTCAGCGCCGTGGTAAGTGGAGTTTTCACATGGCAGAGGAGACTGCAGGATCTCACAGGACCAGGACTCAGCATCCAGGTGGCCATGGCCCCTCCTGACCAGCTGGAGGAGCGAGGGGGCCATCTGACACTCGAAGGAAAATGATACACTTTTCTTTCCTGCTTTGTGATGCTTCAACACAAAAGCCCAGAGCCAATCAAGGAATTTAGCTAATCAAGCGTGGAGAAAATCCTTTTGATTGCTCGCGAGCATTCAAGGTCATGTTCACTACAGAAAAGCACAAACAACATTAAGGTTCTACTTTCTTTCAGGCTCCTACTTTCTGCTTAGATTATCTATTTCGTGGCAAAACAGCATATCTGTTTGAGTAAATCAGTAGTTTTTTCCACACGTATTCTGCTAGTTTGAATCAGCAAGTGTGTGCAGGGATTTTTACACGATTCATACACTCTGCAATGTGATTTCAGCAAATCCAAGTGAGACCGTCCCATCTGTGCTTCTTCTCCTCTGATCCCAGGCCCCGGAGGCTGCAGAGGGCTAATTGTGGGCCCACAGTTTTTCTTCATATCTTTTTGTTTTTACTCAGTGTTGGGGTCAGGAAAGCTCCCAAGTGACCAGCGGCAGGAGCAACAGCCACCGGTCCCCTGCTGAGCCTCAGTAATTAGAGACCCCCTTCCTCCCTCTCGTCCCCGTGCTTCCCCACTGACCCAAGTCAGGGAACCGCTCTCTGTTCTCCTGAAGGGCAAAGAGGGGAAACGGCAGCAGAGAGGAAAACATGCTTTGGTTCCCAAGGAAGACCCTCTGTCCCTCTCAGAGGATGAGCTGCTGCATCTCTGATGAGGATTAAAGAGGGGCAGACAAATGTTAGTGGCTGTGTTTTTATGTGACTGTATGTTTTACACCTTTGTTTATTTGTCCACTATATTTAAATCTTTGATTTCTTCAGTAACGGTCATGAAAGTTGAAATGGATATTGTCTAATGTGAACAAATTTAGTTATTTAAGTAATAATTAGTATTTTTTATCAAGTAGGCAATATACTGTACAGTTTGTTACCCTTGCAGTTGTTTATTACATTTCATTTTAAGTTATTTTAATATTTTCATTAATTTCAATTTATTTCTGAAACATGGCTTAGCTTTATTCTTTAGACTTAGAAGGTGTCACTGATTGGTACAGTTTGTACAGTGGTCKAAAGAACATAATTTTTATGTAAAAGTTGGTAAGTAGCATCACTTATTTTATTTTATTTTATTTTATACACTGTATTGATCCCCTGATGGGGACATGAATTCTCTGCATTTTACCCATCGCACATGTGAACACACATGGAGCGGTGGGCTGCCAGTTACAGCACCCAGGGAGCAGCTGAGGGGTTAACGGCCTTGCTTAAGGGCCCAAAGCGGGGCTGGTTTGTCCAGGGAGTTGAACCAGGACCTTGTGATCATAAAGCTTTATTTAATGTGTTTACTGTATTGAAGCCACTTCTGTTTTCATTATTTACAGATTGTGTTCAAATGGGCTCCATTCACAGATCCTGCATCTTTTAAACCATTGAAAGTGTCCTTGTGACATCTGCTGGACAGAAAAGGTAGTCAGTTTATCATTTGGTGTAAATGACTTCTTTAGAAGATTTAAAATACTTTTTTTTTCCAAATAATACTGTTAAAAAGATTTTTTATGGCAAGTAAATAAATTTAGACATGTCTTTAAAGTGCAAAAGTTAACATAAATGCATGTTAAATAAATTAAGTGGATTTGTGTTTCATGTTTGTAAAATGAGAATCATACAAAAAGATTAGCATAAGTTTTAATCATATATCAAAACTTTTCTCTTAGAAAAAACAGAAGTATCAAAAATCTCTTASAAAAACATATTTTCTTTAAACTTCACATGTGAGAAAAACAAATCCCATTTTTTACACAAAACATATTCAGTTAAAAGCCTAGCATATCAACTTTAGTTCCAGAGTTTAGACTTACTAACATGATGCAGTTGTAGACATTTTCTATAGAATCTTGAAAATAACATTATTCATGGTGTGTTGGAGAATTCTCTCAGATACTACACAGTAAAAATACAAAGTGTCATTTTAACAACTATAGCGTTGAATTTAACTGTTTCATATAATATTTGGCCCCACTCAAAATTTGTGTAAAATGTACTCTATAGCCAGTGTTAAATTCTCAGAGTTAATTTGACTCATTTTAGTGTCAAAACAATGTCGATTCATGGCCAATAACACAAAACCTAAACTTAAACAACTAACTAACCTGAACAAGGAAACTGACCAAAAAAAAAACTATTTTTTTGTTACATTTATGAATTTTTTAACAGTCTTAGACAAGCAAACACATCATTTCTACAAGATTACCCAGCATCCCTTGCTGAGAAAATTCTGGTCCTTGAGGAAGAGAGCGGGACTTTTCAGAGTACTTCTTTCAACACTGCATTGTGTTATATAACAACACTGTTAAGTGTTAATCAAGATTTAACAGTGGACGGAGCTTATTTAACACTGTCCAGAGTTGAGGCAACACTGATGAAATTAACTCTGTGAATTAACACCAAATTAACTTTGAAAAGTTTAATACTGAAAGTTTAACACTCCACTTTTTGGTCATTAAGTATTTATCATATTTATGTGTGAGACATTTTGCTACAAACATTTTTGCCCAAATTTAATATACATTTCATTGGTTCTGTGTTTTATTTTGAATTAACTGATAAGTAACATGTGAAACACATTTTGCATAATTATCAGATCGTGTCATTTCCCACATGATCACATGAAAAATTTGTGGTTTTTCTTTAAATAATATTTTAACATTAAACTACAGTTAATACCTATCATCTGGATGAAGAATTCGTCCAGAGAACCTACTTGATTTAACTTTTTTTTCCTACTTGGATTGCATCAGGATAATTATTACCTAGATTTTTTTCCACCTAACTCCGTCAAAAAGATATTCAGTCATTTTAGCTMTTTCTGTAGGTAAACAAACAGTTAATTTCCATCCAGTCACAAATTTTGCTTACAGATTTGTTATTTAATTATCCATAGATGTGAGAAACCTATTCAGATAAAGGTTTTATCTTTGGACCAGTGTTCATGGCTTTGCAGTGAGTACCTTTAAGTTCAAAGCTGGGGGCTTTTTAAATCCATTTGTTACCACTTCTTCAATAAAGCTTTATTTCCTGGAGTTTACCTTCAGGTTAGGCACAAGATGTTAATTATGAGGGAGTGTCCTGTCCTCCTTAGGTAATCTAAGATTATCCCATTATTTCCTTTTTAGCAGAGAATAAAGTAAATAAATATCCCATAAACGTGTTCCTTCAGATGGGAGTCTCCTCCTCTTATCAGTGCTGCAGGTCACAAATGGACGTCATGAAGAACACTGAGAGTTGCACAAGTCTCCAGACTGGAAGAACCTGTAAACATTAACCAGTGGGAACATGGTGATCGAGCCAATGAGTGAACCCGTCTGTGCTGCAGCTCCACACCAGACCAGCGCACTGTGGCTCCGGTCTCTCAGGATAACACCAACCATGACTTTCACATACGACAGCGTTCCAATGAACAGGAGCCATGAGAGCACCTGGTGAGGACAAGAGAGGGAATTTCTAATAAATAATTCATTAACCTGTTAATAAAATCAGGATCAGTACATATAAAACCTTTAGCACTAAGATTACAGGTGTTGAACTTTGACACTTTTGTAATAAAACCACCATCTGGGAATGTTTGTGTTTGACTCACAATGATTGCCTCTCCTGCTGCAGACCCGTGAAGTAAAGGACAGGGACTCATGGCTGCCATTGCCATGTTATAGCTGCCGAAACCGGTCCCAACCACAGTCAGCACACCAAGGAAAACCAGAGACCTGAACATAAAGATCTGTAAGCTCCGGTCTCCACCACATTCCTCAAAAAAATAAAAGCCTAAGTAWTTTTAAAATGAATGTTTGATTGACACCTGTTGTCCAAGCTTGCCACGCCAAGCAGGTTTGCCAGATAGGAAACAAAAAACGATTGCACATTTGCTTTAAACTGATGTTGTTGTTGTTGTTGTTGTTGTTGTTGTTGTTGTTGTTGTTGTTGTTGTTGTTGTTGTTGTTGTTGTTGTTGTTTTTACCCAAGCTATCGTGTTCTTAGTGAAGTGCACTTTTTCATTGGAGGTAGTTTGTAAGATGAGGTGTGTGTTGTGCAAGTGCACAGAAAAGGAGGGGGCTAAAAAGGATAATTYTTGAATTATTTAGCAACAATGATGCTGGACTGTAATCATTTATAAAACAGTTATACAACACTGTTCATACATTTAAGCAGGTACTGTACATTTATTCCATCCTTCATAYGCTTTGTCCAAATTCAGGGCTGGGTCCTTCGAAGGACCCGGTCTAGGTGGGTCAGGTCCTCGGTCGACCGCGAAGACCAGAAAAAAGTGGCTGTGAATTTGGACTGTTTACSCTTCTGCTTTTTTCTGCTTACACCACCATACGTCCTGTCGCTARACAGAAACCATGATGACGATAAACAGAAGCAAAAATAGATAGAAATTAGCTAAATATCAGTATTAGTAATATTAGTGTTATAAAATAGCAAAACTAGCTAAAAGGCAATATTTGAAGAACTAAGGGACCGCCGTAGGTGCATGTTTATTTCTCTACATCGGCTCATTTTATTTCTGACAAAAATAATATTTAAAAGCATGTCTARACAAATGATAAAAGCATWAACAACACAATCACTTGAAATTTTTAATTTTTATACCGCCAGATTTTTATTTAAAACTATATTGCGTTCTCTCGCTCTGTCCGCCATTACTAGTAGAAAAAAATCTCRGGTTTGCTCGCAATGCATCATGGGATATGGTGGGCCAAGAAGGATCCACTGGACCCYTCCCTCAAATACGTMAAATAGGAGGATGCATTTGTCGGCCGCATTGGAGGAGTCTTCGAATTTAGACAGCCTAAGCAGCGACAAATTCGGCCTTCGAAGGACGCAGCCCCTGAATTTGGACACAGCCAWAATAAGCACTTGARCTTGCCAAATAGTGGGCCTGCTTCAGTGTGTGAATATTTTAAACATCAAACATATGTCAGTCATGGACATAACCAAGGGGTGGCCAGGGGAGGCATTCACCACACCTAAAAAAAACTGCTACTAAACTACAACTACAACCAGAGATGGGGTCTCGTGACTCGGACTTAGACACTTAAGTCCCTTCTATTAGAGACTTAGACTTGACTTGGACTCTAAAGACTTGAGACTTGACTTGGACTTGTGGTTTGAGACTCGCAAACAATGGAAGTCTTTTCACTGCCCGGCTCGGCTCACGATGCTCACTCCCTCAATACACATCCATGCTCCGCTCCCTCTCACCTGAGAACTGGAGGGGCCAGCGCTGTCCAGTGTTAATGACGTGTACCCTACATGACAAACAGAGCTTCAGRGTGGCAGGCARGTTGCAGTATTCACTATAAACTTTGCTTACAGAGACTTTATTCAATGCCATGACAAGAGACMGGCAAAATGCAAAGTGTGTGGAATCCAAATCCAAAATTTGTTTATGTGATGACTTGTGCAGCCCTTTTACTTTAAGGATTCTGGTTCATCATTTTTTGCTGACATGCTTTTACGCATTTAAACATATTTTTCCACCTATGTGTATCAAAAGGTGATTCCCTAGCTCCCATATTGCTATATTTATCAAATAATCTATTTAAGACAAGATCATTAATCTCCTGAAATTCTGTTCTGGTTTTTGGTCGTGGTGTGCACCTCCAGGATTTTCAGTGACCCCATATGGCCACCCCTATAAAATAATTCCAGAGTGCCACTGCTGTAAGAAAGTTACAAACATAAAGTTGGTTTTACAGTATGAAGTTATTTAGTAAAAACATCTAGTATGTTGGCCAAATAAAATGACAGCACTTGATCTTGCCAAATAGTGAGCCTGCTTCGATGTGTGAACAATGTTTTCTGTTTTATGAATGATTGTTACTGTAAAGTGTTTAGAAAATCATGATTAACTTATTTAAAAAACTTTTTTTTTCTTATAATGTGAAGCTTTTAATGTGAAGGGATGCAGAAGAATTGTATGACATGATCAGAAGTGATGAAGAAAGAAACTAGAACCTGTTTAAGTTGTTAACTGTTTCATGAGAGACTAAGAAAAACAGAGATATTTACCTGTTCTGAAAGAAAATTGCGACAGTGCAGGCTACTGGGTTGGCCACCGAGGCCAGAGCTGCAGAGAGGTGATAGGCGAGGTTCCCATAAGGCATGCAGGAATACGTCTGGACAGAGGGCAGCAGGCCATTGGTCGCAGAATTAACCCAGACCACAAGAAAATAGATCCAAGCCAGCTGGTACGCAGAGAGTTTAGGGTTGCCCAGCAGAAGCCTACTTCTGCATGGTCCTTCCTCCTGTTTTTTCTCATCCCCTCCATCAGTCTCTGATCCTGGGTTTTCTAACCCGGAGCTGACAGAGGGTGCCGTGTCCAGCATAAGGTTTTCTGTGGACAGTTTGAGTTTCTGAGGAAGCTTGTTCAGTCCAACAAAAGCAGCCAGGCTTATACACATCATGGCTGATAGGAGGCAGAAAAACACCTCTGTGGAGAAGTTTGGAGGGAGATACTCAGTTAGMAACAAGGAATCCCCACCTGTGTGGTTTCCAGAAGCCTGAGAAGAGTTGACGCACTTGGCAATGCCGACACCTTGAGCCAAAGCAATCACACCAGGGATGAAACCGCTTAGACCTTCTCCAATAAAATATGTGGTAACGTATTTTGCTGGAAGCTGCATCATAAAAGGGAGAAAGGTAACCGAAGACGTGCAGTCCACCAGAGCGAGGAAGAAGGTGAGGATGAAGAAGACCGTACTGTGGGACCCTCCGGCCACAATCGTAGTCTCGTCCCAGAAGAAAATGAGCAGGATGCAGGACGCGATGCCGACGGAGAGGATGGAGTAAATGACCGCACGGTTGTTCAGACGACCTGGGCAGAGCTTGTGCATGATCGTGACCAGCAGAGGTCCCAGGTTGGCCAGCTGGATGATGATTGTAAGGAAGGACGGCAGATCCCAGCCTTCAGGCAGAACGTTGACGATGAGGGGGAGTTCCACCCACAGACCATTTACCGCCACCCAGGAGCCGGTGCCGAAGGCGCAGGCCAACACGTGCAGGAGTATAGCCATACTGAAGGGTCCGTCCAAAGATAGTTCCACCTCTGCCACCTATCAGACCTACAGACAGAAAAAGGCAGAAATATTACAACCTAGTTTTAAACTTTCATTTAACCTCAAAGGTTTAGGTTTTGTCTAAATAATAAAATCTACTAGTAATGTACTCCAAATCATTTAATCTAATTTTCTTTAAAGTGCCATAACCTTCACCAAAACATGGATTCAAATWTAATCAGAGGAGTGGACTCTGGATGGAAGCCAAGGAATTTTATTAAAGCAAAACTCTCATCMCTGAGCAGCGTCCATCTTTTCAGAAAAACCTGAATCTCACAGAGCGGCACAAACATTTAAACTCCTTTCATGCATCATCAGATATGGTTATTTCAACTTGCCATTGCTCACGGAAGAACATTCTTCAGGTTAATCTGACCTGGAGGCCTTTTTCTCACTAAACAAATACCCTTTCACAGACAAGCACATTCCTTTCTCCAATACACAATAATAACCTTTTCATGACCAAGTTTGGGGATTGTTTCTGTACACACAACCTCAAAAACACCTTTTTTCCTCTTGCACCTTWAGACCTGCAGAATAAGTATTTTTGCTTCACCTTACATTACTTAAAACCATAAAACTTATGCAGAACTTTTTGTATTCAGAGAAGTCAGTAGGTTTTAGTGAGAAAAAATTAAATTTGTGCAGTCGTTTTAGTGTCTAATAACTTAACGACATTTAGTGGTCACCTCGAGGTGGAATAAACCATTCCACCTGTCTTTGAACTTGGTCTCAGAAGACCTCCCTCAGAGAGACAGAACTCTGTTCCATTTAAAATGAATTTAAGCCACAATGTGTCTTCTCAAACATAGAGACGTTTTCTTCTTCTTAATCAAGATAATAAACAAAATAATAATGTTCTTTATATTTTTTATCTATATTTTATTTGAACTAAAAGTTATCATTTTATAAATCAAAGTTACACAATGAAATGAATGACAACCTATTTTCTTTCTTTCTCAATGAACTCTGTGGAGCCAATCCATGTGTGAAAATGATGCCTCATGCTCCCTGAATCACTCTTTCACAGTTCCAGCCCCCATTAATCCTGGTATTATCATTTTGGAACATGACCGTGCCATCAGGGAAGAAACAATCCATTGATGGGATAATAACCTGGTCATTCAGTATATTCAGGTCAACTGACCTCATTCTTTGAGCACAAACTGTTGCTGAACCTGAACCTGACCAACTGCAGCAACCCCACATCATAGACCTTAGTATACAGACATGATGAAAATAACTTGCTGAATTTGAAACCAGGCATCAGAACGGGGAAGAAAAACGATTTAAGTGACTTTGAATGTTATGTGGACAGTTGTTGCTGCCAAACAGTCCGGTCTGAGTATTTCATAAACTGCAGATCTTGGAATTCTCACACACAATTATGTCTAAGGTTAAAGGAGAATTGTCCAAAAAGAGYAAATATCCAGTGAGCTGTATTTGTGTGGACAAAAAAAGCCTCGTTCATGTCAGAGGTCAGAGGAGAATTGGCAGACTATTTTTAAATGACAGTAAGGCAACAGTAGCTCAAAAAAATGTCTGCAGAAAACCATAACACACAGCATGTCCATCCATGGAGCAGATGAGCTACCAGGCGTCACTCCTGTCAGCAGGAAACTGAAGCTACAGTTCACACAGACTCACCAAAATTAGACAATATGAAATTAATTCACTGAACTGACCTCAACCGATCTCAGCTTCAGGATGCCYTGAACAGGTTCACAGCATGGAATGTTTCTAACACCTTTATTGAATCTTTAACATAAATAATTGAGGCACTTCTGAAGGCAAAAGTGGGTCAAACCTAGTAAGGTATTAAAGTAGCAGGTACGTCCACAGCTGATTAACCTTTGGATTCAACCTAATTCACAGTTAATCAACTCTTAGTGTACARAAACATGGCTATAGCTCAGCCACTTTTATAGATAGTAAGTTAGAAGTACTTACAGGTTTATTTGGTTCCTAAAAGAGTTGAAAGGAACTCACTGTTATTGTAGAAAGTAGCAGCAGACTGACTTCAGCTGATCTTAGACAAACACGTTTCTCCTGTAGAGGTCAGAGTCCACTGCAGCTCCAGCTTCACTATAACCTACTAATCTGGGTCTATCAGTTTACATCTTAACTTTTTTTTTTTCATTTCTTCAAAAGCACACACATAGTGGTTCACAAAATTAAGTGTGTGGGTCTAAACTCCAAGTGGAGGGGCTTGAGAAGATCTACAGAAATCAATTAACTTTAACACTAACTACCAGTTGCATATTTTGATTTAACTGAAAGATGAAAATAACTGTGATAAATGGATTAAATATATATATGTAATCTGTTATGTGACAAGGCTGCTCATTTGACTGTGTTATTACCAGTGTTTGTATACTTTAATCAGAACTCCCTGCACTCACAAATCTCTGAAACTTTGAATCAAGCATGAAAATCTGAGCAGTTTGAGAAGCAGTGTGTTGATGCAGCACACAGGGCTGAYTGTAGCCTGCAGCGCCCCTGCTGGCAGCAGATAGGAGCTGCATCATGTCTCCAATCTGTGCAAGCTGCTGCAAAATAAATTTCTGAAAAACCTACCCTGCTCAATAATAATACACAACTTTTGTCATAAAGAGCTAAATGTTTTCATTTCTTCACATTTACTCCCTTCATAGTATTTTGTCAGTTTGTACTTTAAAAAAAGTAAAATAAATAATAAATATTACCAGCTTCTTCCAGGTGTTACCTGCTTGTCTTACCCTTGCATGGCTCTAACAGCAAGAGTTCATGTCTGACCTCTGACAAGTTCAGATGTTCATTGTGTTTGTAAAGAAACCAGCTGAACTGAATCCTACTTATCATTTTGTTCCAGGAAAGTCTGTCTTTAGTTTTTAGCCCGTAAAGCAGATTTAAAAGTCAATATGTATTTTGCAGAAAGCACAAACTAAAAAGCTTTGTGAGAAATCATTAACTTCTTAAAATCAATTTTTTAAAAAAGAGCCAGTAAAGAGGCWTTTGTTTTATTCTCTAAACACAGTTTGAAATATTTGGAAGGAAATGCAGTTTTTGTTAAATGTTCATTAAAACATAGTGAATTTAAGTTACATAACATGAACTGGCATCTATTACTCAGTTTTGTGTTGACAATATTTAAGCCTATCCAAATTTGAGCATTTAGGACTACAAGTGTGAGATATGCAATTGTTAGAGGTCCAAAGGTCATTTTAAATCAAAAGAAAATTCCTTCTGATGCTTTCCTTGCTTGCAGATGTTTTTTTTATGGATGTTCTTGACTTTYTCAACTGGAACAATGTATGTAGATTATTTCAGTTAGTTAAAGCTTAAAATAGTTAGTGGTAGTTTACAGATCTGTACTGTGTAGATCTGTCCAACGAGCTGAGCTACATTTGGATGCATCTGATAAATGGTTTAGAAATGATCTGCTTCTCTCTTCTGCCACATTAGCAGCAACACTAATGGCTGAGCACCACTGAGTCCTATGGGCTGCATATTTTACATTAATGGCTTCTAAAAGCGCACATGGAAAACTGCTTGAGTTTGTTACAACCATTATATAAGTTTAACAATTGACTAAAATAACTGAAGTTGTGTTATTTAATGCTGCTATGCACAGCCATGGTGAAGTTCTGCAGTTTTATGTACGGGGACGTAATAAAAATGATCTGATTGTTACTAAAATAATTCAAATCAAAGCTCAGGAGAACAAAAACACACAACAGATTCCACCARGWCATGATTTATTGAAGAAAAATRAACCCAAGATGGAAAAAAACTGTGTGTGGGAACTGGGGGGGGAAAAAACTAAATCCACCTCGATTCATCAGCTTGTAAAACCACTTTTAGCAGCAACGACTCTCAGAACTGCTTTTCTGTTTTACTTTCTCAGTTCTCCGGGGAATTCTGTCTTCCTCTTCTTTCTAATGCTGCTTCWGTTGGAATTTGCTGACATTTGTTTTTGCACAGCTCTCTGAAGGTCCCACCACTGCATTTCAGTCAGGATGAGGCCTGGACCTTGACTAAACCACTGAAACGTAAATGAAAAATACATTGCAAGAACTGTTTTTGTGTTTGTTTGTTTTATGTGTGTTTAAAGTTAAGAGATCATCGATCCACTTTGAGCTTGAATGTGTGTTAAGGTCCTGTCCCATTATAACTGATCTGAAAATGTCCACTGCTGAAGATGGAATTAAATAAAATCTACTGGAAGCCTGTTTTGAATGAATACATCATTAAATGTTCATGAGTTGAATGATAAAACCTATGAGTAATTTATTCATTACAAATTTTTCATAAGTCAGCATAATTTGTCTAAAACCATATGTGACAGGACCATTAGACCAGGCGTTAACTCACCAATCTGGTCAGAATAAACTACTTTTTCAAAGTGAGGCTGTTCAAAGAGTGGTTTACAAGTAAGATTTTAGTTTTTATATAATTTTCTACAGAAACCCACTCTAAAATGTCAGAACTATCCCTAACGGTGCCTTTCAACTTTGACACGACAAATGCTTGTGTTGTCATAAACAACCTCTGAAGTAACGAAGCACACAACAAAAACATTCAAAGAATTGTTTTGTCCCTTAAATTTGCTGTAACTCAGTTGAGAGTTGTGATAGTGTTGCTTTTTAATTTCCAAGATTATACGGGTGCCTRGGTTTTTTTGTTGGAATAACTCAAACATTTCTGGACAAATTTATAGATAGAACTCAGGTCAAAACTGAACATTTTTATTGTTGTTGTTATTATTATTATTATTGGCAGATTAATGCAGTTTTGAATCATTTATGTTCCACTAGTGTTCAGGCTGCATTGCTTTTTATAATAGTGTTTTTAATGATTCTAATATTGGTGTAATTGTGATTCAGTTGTCTCTTTTTGTCATGTTTGCAGCTGTTTAACATAGTCAGGTCTTTTGCCTATTTTAGTTCTTATTCCATCCTGTTGCTTCTGATTTTCGTTTTTTTTTTTTTTACATTATTTTTGGCTTTTTATAGTTCAGGCTTTATGGTTTGTTTTACGTCAAGTTTTCTGCCTGTTTTTATTTTTCTTTTGGTATCCTTGTCTTTTTACGGATGTCTTTGAATTTGTCCTATCATCCAATCTGATTACTGATGAACACTCCCGCCCCATTAGAAGTTTTAGATCTTTGTAGATGTTATTACTTGCTCTCAGTATTACACACATAAAGTTCTCATAGGCCTGTGTTCAACAGCCTATTCAGTCATTTATCCCTATTAGGACCCAGTAAATAGTTGAACAGTATTAGTCAGCTCTTCATGAATCTTAAAACACTTAATTTAAACAACAAACACATTTTTTTAGGTTTCTTCGTAAGTGAGAAGGAGATGTTATTTATATGAACACCAAACATTTCATATTGCTCCTTTGAACCGTCCTGACCTTTGACCTGTGAGCAGAAAACACATTCATCTGCAACGTAAATGCATGAATATAAATTTATGAAAAACATGGAGGAAGTAAAACATCTTGTGATTACATCACATGAAGCTGCAAAGACAGTTTCACAAGTCAGGGATCTGCTCTGAGGTAAAACCGGACCTAAGAGGTAGCTGATTTCACGTCTCAGTTCAAGCGTGGTACAAACGCAGACCTACAGTATGTTTGCATACATTACATCTCAACATGATTCAGTTGTATAGGTGCACAATGTTCACAGATCCTACACATTTATGCATCTGACAAGCTTTGAAGAACAGAAAGAGGGGGGAAAAACAAATCTTGCGAGCACATCAGCAGAGCCAGATTATCTTTTTGTCCGGAAACACCAAAAGAAAAATCTACTTAATGCTGCATGAAATGTGTTTAAAAATGGGCTTCATATCTTAGATTAACTTGACTGTTTGGTGAGATATATGCAAAATGATGTTAACTGACTGGTTTCTATCATACAAAAAGGCAACACAAAGAAACGCACATTACGTTTGTTATTGTACAATCAGCATTTTTGAGAAATAACTTTAAAAGTCTGCCAAGATGGAAGGTACTGAAATGACTACATGTGGGGTAAACTGATACGAGCACCCAGAGCTCCAGTGATGAAGTGAGAGGTCTGAGGTCTGAAATGATGTTCAGGAATGAGGTTTTTATTGTTTTTAATGCAGATGTGGGTCTAAGTGTACCTGTTAAAGTGTGCGAATGTGTGTGTGTTTTATTAGGAGGTGGAATGTTGCACGCCAAGGATGGAGATTATCAAAACTAAACAGAGAAGGAAGGTGAAAGAAAAGAGAGAAATGCAGGTAGAAGCAAGCAGCAGAAGCTCAGATGGTGTAGATCTGGCCCTCGGGTGGCTGAGGAAGCTTCATGTTTTCCTTGCACGCCATGAGCCGTCGCAGCTCCAGCAGCACCATCCGAATACTGTAGGAGTTCTGCCACTTGGCCAGTGCAGTCACTGCGTGCATGTCAACCTGCAGGCCAAACAACAAAAGTGGAAGGATGTGAGGTCACATCCTGCGAAGCTCAGACTGACTGACATGTAGGCCTGTCAGTCTCATATTTTACACACCGACAAACCGTTCTATATTACTATAAAAAAGCAACAAAAAGACTAAAATAATATGAGTCCAAGTTACAAGTTTTGAACAAGCTGTCTTTATACTGAGAGTTCAACATACTGTAGCAGGGCATTCTTCCCTGAACCTGGCAAAGCTTAAAACTCCTCTGAGAATTTACAGATGACTGAGGCGGTGGTTCGCATGGAAAGGAATGTTTCACATTTGATGCTTTTTTTTCTGCTAAAAATACACTAGTTCAAGTAGAAAACCATTCTTTTCACAGTCAGGACAAGTAAAGAATATTCTTTATGTTSCTGAAAACAGCTCAGAGAGGGCATGTTTGTGCTGCTGTTGGGTGGAGACAAAGATCTGAACTGTTGAACTCTACAATAAATAAATCTGGTCTTAACTATTTCATGGATGTTTTGGCAAATCCAGACAAAATTTTAAATATATCCAGCCTATTTCTGCAACATCAACTAGTTCTGGTTGTGATGTTGTCATATATCACAYGACACACATTTTCTTTTTGGTTTCCTCATAGTTCTTCCTGCAGTTAAAAAAAATAAAGCTAATGAGTGTGATTCTAGTTTTAGGCTATTTCTTGTGCTGAAAATCATGAAAGTCAATGTACAAAAGGTCATGTCATGATTCTGTCATTCAGGATTAGAATGGCTATGCCTATATATTTATGAGACTGGTGGATTCACTCAAAGAAAGATCCTGAAGTAGCATTGTTTGTGATAAATTTGACAATTAAAATGCCAACATTTCATTTTAAGTCCATTTGTGCAGCTCACTAAAGGACTTACCATGAACGAAGGATTTTTATTTTCATGTTTACTTTTTGACAAGCCAACATTTTAATTTGAATCTTGCAATGACAGGCAGAATTATGGCAACATAAATGTTTGGGAAGTCATTAAGAACAGAATAGGAGAGCAGGTTTTGCTTCTTACTGACGGCTGACCACAACTCTGAGCAGTTTATGAGCTCCTGTTACCTTCGCAATGCTGAAAACTCAGACTCTCAGGTCAACATAGCCAAACACTAACCATCAGGTCCAGTATTTCTTRAACTAGCTAAATCCACCCTTGGTTTACGTACCACACCGCTGGATGTATGCACGCCATTCAAGTTTATCTTCGTCACAAATCTGACAAACGGCGGTGAGTCTGGGTATCCTGGCCCACATTCTACCTTCAGGTTGTACATCCTGTTTTCATAGCTCGTCTGCGGGCAGAGAGGTGGAGCCAGATGAGAAGACTAAATAACAACAAACGTCACACGTTGTTTATGATGTAAGCCACCATTTGAAATTACTCATAAACATGTTGAATGAAAATTCTAGGAGAGCTAAAGATAACTATGTCAACAACCTTCTGAAGAAAAGTCGAACATAAGATAGTGTGAATGACACCCGTGTCTGATCGACAAACCTTTCCATTCACACAACAAACCTTTTGTTTCTGCTTCTCAGTGGTGGGCACAGTTCCCCTAAAGCACTAAATCACCAATAGGGGAACTAATTTCCTGATTAGGGCTTTTGCTGATTTTAAAATTGATTAGTGGATTAGCATTTGCTAAATTTATAGGCTAAAGTTAGAAGCACTAACTGAGGTGTATAAATGTTATTGATCAACGTTATTGTTAACAGCTGAGGGTGAAAACTGTCACATTTTGTTCATATGTGTCACTTATCCACTAGATCAGAGGTTCTCAAACTGGGGTCCCAGGACCCCCCAGGGGTCCACGAGCTGTATGTTGAGGGTCCTCAAAAATTTTCAATAAATTGTTCATTTGATTTTTATTTTTAAAAAGGATCCATGATTAGTTGTAACATTAGACTTTATTTGATAAACATTTATTTTAACTGTAAAATAAAGACTAAAAATACTGTAGGATGTTTAGTTTTTATAATATATTTTAACACGGACGGAGCCATTTTATTTCCACACAAAGCATTCTGGGTA